CCCCCCGAGCCCCCCGCGGCCGCCGGCCGAGGACATCTCCCCCCGCGATGTCTTCATCGCCGTCAAGACCACCAAGAAGTTTCACAAGGCGCGGCTGGAGCTGCTGCTCGACACCTGGATCTCCCGCAACCGCGACATGGTAAGGGGATGGCGATGGGGCGGGACGGTCCCTGCCGCTGCCCGGGATGGGGTGGCGCAGGCCGGGATGCAGCCCGGCGGGCCCCGCTGCGGTCCCTGCCTTTCGTCGTTCGGGGTCTGGGGGTGCTATGACTCGGCAAATGTCACCTCCTCTTTCTGCTCGCCCCGTGTCGCTGAGCAGGATGCCTTTTCGAGGCTGTTCTGGGGCCAGCCGTGTTTTCGGGGGGGTTGCAGGCTGAGGTTGGGGTGGGTGAGTGATGGAGGGAGCCTGACCTGGGCTTCTCGCACTCAGCAGCCCCCTCCTCTGCCTCTGGGGTCCTTCCTGCTCAGCAGCCCCCATTGCAGAGCTTGCCCTGAGTTGCTGCCCACAGGGAAACTGCAGCACGGTATCGGGATGCAATGGAACCCGCTGGGGCCACAGTCCGGGTCAGGTCCCTGTGGGTGCTCTCCTGGGCTGCAGGGCCTGGCTGTGGGTGAGGTTTAGCAGGACCCCATGAGATGCCTGCAGCTGGGTTGCCCAAAGGACACTCACTTTAGCAGCCCAGGGCTAGGAGAGTACTGGGACATGCCCAGGCTCTCGGTTCCCTTGCCAGGAACTGGGCAGGACTGGAGTGGCTGGGGGCTCTTGCAGGACTGCTCTGGCTCACCCACGGTAGGGCAGTTCAGCTAGTCTAATTCCTGATGTCCTGCCCAGAGCCCTGGCAGTTTCTTATCCTGGCCTTCAAGTACTAAAGCAAAATTAAAAAAGAAAGCAAAAAGCTGTTTCCTTAGGAAATGTGCCTTGCCATCTGCTCTTAAGACACTATCCTTAGTTTCCCAAGTAAGTTATGCCTGGTCCTAACCTTTCCATCCTACTGTCTTCACGTGTTTCCTCCTGTCCTGGAATTGTGTTGCTTGCTTGCAAGCTGAGTTGTTGGTGATTTTTTTGTTCTGGGTTTTTTTTTTTTAAATCTGGAGTGACTGAGAGGTAAGGCAGGAGGGACTGACCTGCCCTGTCTCCTTCACCCGGGTCTGACGGACCCTGAGGTGTCTGGGCTCCTGCAAATTATCCCAAGCATTATCCTGCCTTTTTTTTTTTTCCCCCTTATGAATCTTGTCCCTTATTTTTTTGCTCAGGTCTCCTGGGCTTGGCAGTGGCTCTGATAACTCTACTAGGGAGAGACATTTAATGGAAACCTCTTTTATGCTCTGCTGTCACTGCAAGGGGGTGGTGAGTGGTGGTGGTGGGGAAACGCTCTTTGAGCACCTACAGATGATCCTGGGAATGGCTGCTCTTTTTTTTCCCTCCCTCTTGTGAGCTCCGGCTTTCTTCTAGGTTTTTTTTGTTGTGCTTCGTTTGTCCGTTTGGATTCCCAGAGACCCGAGGCTCGGCTCTCACGCTGTCCCCCTGGGCAAGCTAACAAAGCCCCTTTTCTCCTGGCGCAGAGAAAAGGCTTCGCAGCCTCTTGTGTGGCACTTTCCATGGGAACGGGGGAGCCGGAGCTGGCCGTGTCCAGGTCAGGTTGCCTAGAGATGAGGGCCATGAAGCCAGGGGGGCCGCAGCCCGGCGAGGTGCCCGCCTGACAAGCAAAGCTGCTGAGTGACGGCTCTTGTACAGCACTTGAGGACAAGGAGCTGCCGAGAGAGCTGGAGGCGGCACAAACTCCTGCGGAGCAAAGCGAGGCCTGGGGGGACACATGGAGGTAGAGGGGATGAACCCATGTTGCTGGTGTTCATTGGCTCTGGTCTTCTCACACTGACCTGGCTGCTGTCTCTGGGAAGCTTTGGGGCATCCTGGGCTCCCCCAAACTTGGCATCGAGTTTTTTTGCCTGCAGCATGCAGGATTGGTGCCATGGGGCTGCTCTTCCTTGTTTCGCTGTTTGGGGAGGGTCTGTGCTGTTCCTGCATCCCCTCCTTGCCTGGCCCTGTGGTTTCTGCCCCAGGAGGGTGTTTTGTTGACAGCAGGGTGCTGCCTCTGCTCAAATGTCTCTCTTGGTCTGAGTCAGGCCTGACTTTGCTCATCCTGTCCTTCTCGCGCTCTTGTTTTACTAACGGTGCTCAGGCACATGTGCTGCCTTGCCAACATGGGGAAGTTCCTGCCCAAGGCCTGAGACTTTCCCATGTCTGATGCCATGTCTCTGCTTCCCCTGATTCTCATCTTGCATCAAACCTCAACATCCCTCCTGGCCATTTGTCAGCCAGGCAGCTCTCTGGGGAGGAGGGATGGAGGCACTGGTGTGAAGGGGTTAAACCCAGCAGGTACCGCCAGGCTGGACCCTGGCAGATAGTGGGAATAGCTATTGTGTCCTTCCTTGGCTGCTCTTTGTTCTGCCCACAATAGTCCTGTTTCCTGCCCTCTGTCCCCTCCAAGACACTGCAAAGGGCACCCCCTTCTCCTTCCTGCTTCCCTCTGCCTGGGGAAGGCAGATCCCTATTCCCTTCTAAATCGGCTCCTTGGGTTGCACAATCCAGGCTGGACAAGCTGCTGTTGGAGGAGGATTATGGGTTTTCCCCTCCTTGCTTTGGGGAGAGTTTCCAGCTGTCTCGGTATCCTTAGGATGCTGGAGCGCAGACTAGAGAAACTTTGCACTTGAAAGAAAAGAGAGGGGGGGGAGGAAAATGGTCATTAGGCAGAAATCCTGGACAGGAGTGAGTCCAAACCCACTGCTTTTCTGCTGAGTCGGGTGATTTACAGTGGCAGAGTTGCATAAGAAACATCCCCTGTCCCCGGGGTACCCCAAAGGCAGCCGGGCGGCCCAGCACAGGCCGCGGTGCCCGCCAGCGTGGGATCGGCTGGCTGCCTCCAGCTCTGCCCTAATTGCAGGCTTTGAAAAATTCCTGCTCTCGGGGCAGAGGGAATGGGTTTGCCTTCTGGAAAGCACGCTCCCCAGTTGGATCGGGAGCTCCGGACTGGGGCTCCCAGATTTCTTTAGCACCTTGGCCAGGGTCCCCATCCTCGGGGTGGCCACGGTGCAGCCTGGTGGCCCACCTGGCCTGCTTGGGCTCCCACCAGAGCGCCTGGGACTGGGCGAGGGGGGCTGCTCATCCCAAACCAGCTTCATGGTGCTGCGGGCTGCCCCCGCCCTGGGCTGTGTGCCAGGGTCTGCTGAGCACTGCTGAGCTCAGCTCCCGTGTGAGGGTCCCCATCCTGTCCCCCCACCTGGATAGCCTCTGTGGTTTTGGGGATGGGGGCCCCTTAGTTGCCTGCCCCAAACGATGCCCCTGTCCTTGTCCATAAAAGCTCCGGGGCCGGTGAGCGGTGCGCGTGGAGCGTCGGGCGGGAG